ACAGGATGTTACACCCTCCTTTTATTTTTTATTCCTCTTAACATCACCCAGAGCAGCAGCCAGCTGAATTTTCTCTCCGTGCACTATCCTGACCAGGCGAAGGGCTGGTAAGCTGCAGCCTTACAGCTTGTTTCCAGCTGCCCAGCCTGGTTTGTCTGTCCGCTCAGAGGGTTTCCCAGCAAGGGAACTGGGGCATGGCCGAGCTGAACTTCCCAGGGGAGCTCCCCAAGATCAGGGATGTGGATAGATAAAGAAAAAAGGGAGGACTTGGCAGGGGGAGGAGGTTTCTGTTTGATTCCTAGCCCGGAGCCACGGCGCTGGGTGCTGGTGGCAGTGACCTTGCCACGGTTGGCACGCTCGGTCCCCTCCTGCCCGCGCAGCCTGGCACAGCTTGGGCTGGAGAGCTCACGTTTCCACCTCTGCCCAGCGAGGCTCTGAGCTGCCCTCTGCGTGGGGGCTCCCAAGGTCTGCCAGGGCTCGGGCAGCAGCCGAGTGTGCGTGGGCTCGGGCTGGAGATGTCACTAAATCAAGAGGCTGACCTTGGGCACGGGGAGAAACTCCTTCAGGGCGGTGTGGGCCGGAGAGCAGAGGGAAGCTGCTGGTGGGGAATCACTCTGGATGCAGGGAGGGGAGGAGAGGAGCTGTGGGGCATGTTTCTCTTGGGCAGGTGGAGGAGGGGAGGCTTGCATGAGTGCAGCAAGGAGTGGAAGGTGGCCAAGGACAGGGGGTGGGTCTGGGGGTTAGGGACGAGTTGGGGCTTTCTCTCCTGCCACAGAAGTCAGGGGAGTTTCACTACTTTGGGGTCTTGCTGGTGGTGGGAAGTGTCATCCTGGATATTTGGTTTATGGTCAACATGGTTTTTCAGGGCCAGGCAGGTAATACAATAACATCTTCCTTTTGTGGGCCACTTAGAAGTGTCCCCCACGCTCTGAGGGTGAGTGGAAGCAGCAGAGGTTTCTGGGTGGATGTGGACCCAGCGATGCTAGAGGTGAAGTCCTGCAGTCCTTGGGAGATAAAGGCTCAAAGATAAAGAGCCACAGATAACCAACAGAGGCAACTCCCCAGAGTTCCCAGGCTGCCCTTTGGGCTGCCATCCACTCCTGTTGTTTTCTCCCATCCGTAGGAAGATAAAGCAGGGGAGAGGGTTTTAAAAGCAAATAGCTCTTGAACAAAATCCGATTGGAAAAGGATTGGCTTTGGCTCAGGGGCCAGGAGCTTCGGTGCTCTAATTAGCACAGGGCTGAGGCTGGTGAGCTGGGCAGGAGAGCACCCAGGCCTGGAGAAGGAGACCTCATCTTCCTCTCCAGGTCTGCTGGCTGGTGACTTGGACCCAGCTGTGTTGGGGCTCCGGGGGCTGCCTCAGCTCAGCTCTGTTTGCAGCCCTGGGATTTGCAGGGTGGCACCTCCTTTTTGTCCCCAGTCTTGTCAAGGGCTGCAGGGGAGCTGCTGGGCTGTGTGGGCTAGGACAGCTCTGCTCGTGGCCCCATCCATGAGCCCCAAGCATGAGAAAGGGCCCCTGGAGGAGGAGGGGGGAGGGAGGAGGAATGCAGGTCTGGAGAGGAGAAGCGGAAAAGGCTGGGAGCTAATCGGGGCAGGATTAGCATGTCTTGATAAGCCAAGATGGGCCTGCAAGGCTTTGAATCCAGGGAGAGCAGCAGCATATGGGTCCCGTGCTGCAGGATTTACCCACATCTGCTTCCAAGCCACGGTCCTCGCTGTCTCCAGTGTGCCCTGGCCAGCAGCACCTTGGCTCTCCACCGCAGTCCCCACGGCTCCCCTGTCGCTGCCCAGGCATTCTAGAGGCTGGAGCTGCCTGAGGAAGAGTCTTGTGGGGTGTCCATAGTGTCGGGGGCCACAGGAGCAGGGGGCAGTGAGCAAGGGAGCAAGCCCACTGCTGCTGATGGTTGCTCTCGGGAGGTCTCTGGTTCATGTGATCTCTTGCTCTTTTTTGTCTTTCCCACTCTCCAGCTGAAGATGAGATGTTCTCTTTTAAATACAGTCCTGGAAAGCTGAGGGGAAACCAGTATAAGTCAATGATGACCAAAGAAGAACTTGAGGAAGAACAAAGGTAAGTTGAGTTTCCTTTTTCTTCTTGCCCAAGGCCATCTGGTTGGCGTCCTCGTGAAGCACGCTGGGTGTCTTCACACCTCTCTCTCCCCAGACTACCTTGGTAGCCTCGGGCTCAGTGTCTTATTATACCATGGTCCAGACCTCTCCCACCCAGGAAGACATGAGAACAAGTAAAGTCACACTGTGTGAGGAGATGGAGACACTGTGGCCAGCCCTATGTACCTTTGGAGTTGTTCGGGCTCATTCTCTGGATGCTTACACCAAATTTTCCAGCTGATGCAAGATGTTGTAGTTCCCCCAGTGCCATCAGTACCATGTTGATTTACATCTGCTGAGGACCTGATCTCTGTACTTTTCCCATTACCTGTGGATGGCCTCCAAGTCGAGGACATGTGCAGAGGGAGTCCTTCAGCCCATGGGCACGCAGAGCCCATCTTGTGGTACCAACACAGCTGACATGGTGTAAAGGCCTGACACAGCCAAGTGGAAACAGGCAGCAGGGCAGGCAGGGGTGAAGGGATGGCACCTTGCCCCTGGGGCAGGCATTCTCCTGTTGGCAAGCCTTGCCTTCAGGCCCGTGGGCAACCTCTCTGCATTGCCAGCGTCTGGGCTGGCCAGGGGTGTCTCTGTGGCATGAGTGGGACACTGTGGTAGGCAGCATAAACCCAGAGAGCTGCCTGAGGGCTGGCACTGACAGTCGCTCTGGCCCTGGGGAAGACTCGGGCGGCGGTGGGGGCTTCCTGAGCCAAGCCTGCAGCCATTCCCTCCACATCAAACCCAACGAGAGATGTCTTCCCTTTCTCCCCCGGCTTCTGGGCTCCCTGTTGCCCTCAGATCTTGGGCTTCACCTGCCTCATAGCACTGCCAGGAGTGAAGATCTGCAAGGGCTGTGTGCTCTGGGGTCAGCAACAGACAGGAGGTCTGGTTTCCTCTGGCGTGGGGTTGATTCTGCATTGGCAGCATCAGGAAAAATGTCGTTTGCTTTCTTCCTATCATTGTTGTCTTTATTGTGCTTGAAGCCCCCAACCTATAAATTGCTAAGCAGGTCTGTTAGTGTCACTGTGGTTGTCACTTGGGCAGGGTGGTGCTGGAATGTGAATGTGAGAGAAGCCCACGGGGCTCAGTGGGAATTGCTTTTCAGGATCCTGCTAAGCACCAAAGCAAAGATCTACCTGCAGCCAGCAAATTCAAACCCTTTGCACCAGCAGCTCCATCTGAACCAGATGAGCAAGCCCCGCTCAGGTTTTTAGGGCCAGGAGTCCTACAGGGCCTTGGGCTGGTTCCTCTGTGGCCACAGGTTCCTCCTGCTGTCACCTGGGGACACTGAGGGGACACCACCTACCAAGAGCAGTGGGATGGGGGTTCTGTGCTCAGGGCTGTAGGACAGGCTCCAGGGAGTGACGGATCTCTCCTGGGGATGGGACCTCCCGGGCAGTGCTGCTCGTGTCCGTCTGGAGCGGTCCCAGGGCAGGACAGTGCCTCTAGACATGAGGGACAGTGCCTGGGCATCAGGTCCCTTGGAGACCCTCAGCATCCTGCCACGCTGAGGGACATCAGCAGACGTGGGTTTCCTACTGCCCCTTTACTTTCTTCTCTTCCATATTTCTGTTGTTCATTTCCTTAAAGCAGCTTTGTGATGTTTTGGGGTTTTTTTTCGTCTTGCTTTGTTGCTGGCTTACTTTGTCCTCCCTTAAAATCTTCACTGCAGCATCAGCAGCTTCTCATTTCAGGCCCTGCAGGTGGTGTAAGAGGCAGGGCTGCTGCCAGGCGAGCTCCTGGGCTCCTGGGTGCAGGAGCTCAGCCCATTCCTGCATCCTTCTCCCTCGGCACTCCCGTCCTCCTCCCCAACTCCGCACTTCCCGACCATGCTGCTGATGTGCTCTGACCCAGGTTTGCCACCTTTATGTTGCAGGATTGAGCTGACTTCTGATCTCACATCTCTGTAGCAAGTACCTTAGGTCCTCGGCCACAAACATTCTTGCAAATCTCTTTGGTAAGGACACGCCGTTTCTTAGAAGTAGTGGTGCCACCAGTGACATCTGCTGATGTGGTTGGGGGTTGGGTCTCATTTGCTGGGGGAGGGTTTGTTTCAGAGCTGGAGTTGACTGCCTGTCCCACCTCCCTCCCACCTTCTCCCCTTCCCTTCTCATAAGATGGTTGAGTCCTCTCTCCTCTGCCTCCCTCTCTCTTCCCATGACTGCTCCAGGGGGAGTGGTGGGGGCTCTCACGTTCAGGTGCTCACCTCCTCCGTCTTGGATGCCTGAAGCTGGACATTCCACGAGCAGTTCTGTTTGCTGATTTGGAAAATCAGAGCTGTTGAGTGAGTGGGGAGTTAGTCCTAAGGGGTGCTGCCAAAGCTGAGACAGGCTTAGTCTTTGCTTTTAGCTCTGCCACTCCTCCAGTTTTCCCAAGGACAAACAAGTTCCCGTGTGAAGCAGCTTGTAAGAAATATCCCAAAAATGCACGTGGGTCCCTCAGACTCCCTTGAGGCTGCTTGTGTTGATCGGTAGTCACAAGTCTTAATTTAGATCCCTGATTTTGCAGATGCCACCGAAAGAATTACTTGCCTTTTCTATAGGACTTCAGACAGAAGAGGACAGATGTGCAATAGATAGGGTTATTTAACCCAAACCCCACTTCTGCTTTATCCTGCATCACTCCAGAAGTTGTGGTTGTCTTGCCTAGCATTCACTTGAATCTTGTGGCTTCAAAGCGGTGCTAAATCTGGACTGAAAAGGGAAGGAATGTGACCTTTGCTGAGTGATGCAACTTCCTGCTTCTGGTTATTTCAGTCTTAAAAAACAGAGGGACCGCTTTGTGAAGGAGGAGGACAGTAGATCTAGTTGGCAGATACATCTGCTGAGGTGGTGGCTGTGCTTGATCACACCTGGAGGGTCAGCAGGACTTCTAGAACAGAAGCATATAGCATTTGCTCCCCTGGGGGAGAACAACAGTCTGGGCAGGAAGGGGAAGAGTGCAGGGGAAGGATGCAGCCCTTAGTCAAGCCAGCCCAGAATATTTCCCAAATCCTTCTCTTCTGCACCTGAGGCTTCTAGCCATCTATTGCCAAGTGTAGCTGCCACGGTGCAAAGCGCTAGTTCAGGCTGGGAGATGTGACTCATGGGTGCAGCTTGTCCCCATTTGGACAGGGCTGAGTTGTGTAGGCATGAGACACTGCCCACAAGGGCTGGCTGTTAGGTGTTGCTGTCCTGCCTGGGCACCTCGTGCAGATGGAAGAAGGGGAAGGGGTCCCCAGTGTGCCTTCAGGGCCTGGCTCACATGGATGGGTTGAAGTGGGTCTTTGCCAGCTGCTTTTCAAACCTCCCTTGAGGTCGAAAGAGTTTAGTGGTTTTTTTGCAGTTAAAAGGAGTATGACCAGGACTCTGTTGAGCATTGACAGCTGCAACAAGGCTCCACTTGCAGTAAAGGAGAAAAGAAATCAAGAGAAATGACTCTTTTGGGTCTCTGCTTTCAGTTCTCCCTTTCCATGAGACAGAGCAGGTCCCAGCCAAGTGTTGGGCGGCCTAAGTGATGCTGAGGGGTGGAGCTGTCTCTGCTCTGTCCTTGCTACTCTCCTCTAGGCTGGAGAAAGGAGAGCAGACCTCATCTGATGGCCTTTGGGAAGGTCTCTCCTCTCTGTCTTCTCTCTTGTGTCAGGGATTTAGGAAGAGTTGGGGGTGGAGAGCCAGAATCTGCCCTGTGGGGCCTCAGCTAGGGCACCCTTGCAGACCCCTTGAGCAGGGTCCAAGTGAATGGCACCAAACTCCTCAGACAGGCTCCGTTGTTTGCAGGTGCACTCATGGATGGAGCAGGTGACCCCCAGACCACTCCTGTCTCTGTAAGACCGAGGAGAAGGTAGGGATGGCTGCCCAGTTTCCCTGGCTAATGGACCCAGTTCCCACAGCCAGGTGACCCTTTCTAGGAGGGTATTCTACTCCTGCCTCTCAGTCCTCTCAACTCCTGGTCAGCCATGGATGAGTTGAGGACATACTGTTTGAATCCAGACTAGATTAAAGCCTAGGGCTCAATGGCAAGTTGGAATTCATGCAAGGGGAATTGGATGGCTCTAAATCTCATGCTCAGTCCTTTTCTTGGTGGTAATTTAGCAAGGACAACCTGTCCCATCTTGGCTATGAGATACTGAATAAAACTGGGCTTGGACCCTGGGGTTGCAGCACGGCAGGGTGCCCTGGGCAGGCCCTGGCTCTAGGGAATGGCAGAGAAGAGAGACCTTTCCCTGCTCTGTCAGACATCCCAGACCAAAGTGGGGACATAGCTGGTGCTCGAGGGAGAACCCTGCTGAAGTTTGGTTTTGAACAAGACAATGCTCATGATGACAAATCTGGAGCACACAGGAGCAGGAAGCAGCTGCAGGGGTTTAATGACTCTGTTGACAGACCTTCACCTGTTTTGAACATCGCCACCACTAGCCCTCCAAAAATAAGTGGGTGGGCAGGGCTGGGGGAGGTTGCATTTTGGGAGAGCTCTCCATCAGCATCTGTCCCTGTGCCCCCCCTGCCATCACCCAGCCCTGGCTTGCTTGCTGGCTCCCCTCTCTGTACAGCATGGGACCTGGGCCTCTCTCCTCCCTTCTCTTCCACCAACCTTCCCCCCAAACCCAGCAGCTTTGCTGTCCTGTCCTGTCCTGTCCTGTCCTGTCCTGTCCAGCATGGTGCTTCTTTTGGATGAGGGAAGCTGGTAAGTTTGGCCTTGCTTTGGGGTTTTATTGTTTGTTTGCTTTTCATCTTCTGCAGCACGATGGTCGTCCCGGGCTGAGGGAGGAGGTGTGGCAGCAAGGGGTTGCCAAGCGCAGGGCCACGGGACTCTCCACGTCAGCCGGGCCAGCGCTTCACTGCGGCCACCAGCCACGGGGGTGGCCCCAGCCACGGGCAGGGCTGCTTCCAGCCGCCAGACACCCAGCGCTCCAGGCACCTTTCCTCCCCACTGCCCCTGGCAGGAAAGGGGCACTGTGTGGTGGGGCTTCCTCCTCAGCTCCCC